CTTCGTCGTTTTCTTCTACTTTCTCTGTGTGTTCGCTTCCTGTCTGTGTGCTGTGTGAGAATGTCGAGAGCGGCAATGGCTACTCCCTTAACGAAATAATTCAAAATCTTATTAACTGCACCTAACATACATATATATATATATATATAAATCAACAAGGAATTCCAATTGAAGAAATATCAAAATGAGTACTGTCGATAAGATGCTGATCAAAGGCATCCGGAGCTTCGACCCGGAGAACAAGAACGTCATCACCTTCTTCAAGCCCTTGACCCTCATCGTTGGCCCTAACGGCGCTGGCAAAACTGTATTCCCCTTTCTTTGGCTCTCTCTCTCTCTCTCTCTCTCTATATATATATATATATATTGCATGTATACACACACACACATATATTATCATCTCCTCCTCTTAGCTCTTCTTTATCGCCATTTTTACACTTTTATTCGTATTGCTTAGACGATCATCGAGTGCTTGAAGCTTTCTTGCACCGGCGAACTGCCTCCAAATGCTAGGTCTGGCCACAGTTTCATCCATGACCCTAAGGTTTCTCTCTGTCTCTACTTAGCTAAAAGTCATATTAGGTCTGGTTATATTTGTAAATTGCAATCTTACTTTTTCTCTACAATTTTCCGCCGCATGAACTTTCTCTGCATTGAGAATGGGATTATTCCTCTTCTTGGAGCTTTTATTTTTTATTTTTTATTTTTTTTAATACTGGTATGGTTGTAGGTTGCAGGGGAAACGGAGACAAAGGGGCAAATTAAGCTACGATTCAAGACGGCGGCGGGTAAGGACGTGGTGTGCATTAGGTCCTTCCAGCTTACCCAAAAGGCTTCAAAAATGGAGTACAAGGCCATTGAGAGTGTACTTCAAACCATTAATCCTCACACTGGAGAGGTACATTTCCTTTTTGCTATCTTTTTCTGGGAAGAAAGGTATTCTACTCATACTTGTTTTTGTTCTTTGTTCTCTTCTTTTTCATTTTTTCTTTTTTCCTTTTTCCCTTTTTAGTTGTTGTGGCTAGAACTTGGATTAAGTTGGGTAATGGGTAGTAGTTTTCATTTGGAGATGACCCATAAAATTTTTTTTGTTTTATTGGCAATGGAATATGTTTGTTTTGTTTAGTACTGTTTGTATGATTCGTTAATGTATGAGCAAGTCCTTTTGTGGAGCTTTTGATTGGGATGCTGCATTTACATTATGGACTTACCATGCATTTAAGAGACTGGAAAGCGATCTTGATAGAACTTTTGTTCGTCTCACGAATGGAAAAGAGATTATTCATTTAGTGCTAAGGTAACTTTAAAACAAACAACATCGGTAGGTCTGGCACAACCAGAGCAAATGTGAAATCTTGGAATTGATGAAATAAGCCCATCGTCGTATTTTGTTGAGTAGACGACTGATTAAGTAAAGACTTAAGTTGAGCAGTCGATTGCTAATTGAAGAATTTCTGAACTTCTATTATTAATATTTCCGTAACCCTACAATAGCATATATATACATAAATGACTAATAAGGAAATAACTAACTAGCTTGATTCTCTCCTAAAAATCAGGAAACAAAATTATGAGAAAAGATCACAACCGATCTCTTCTTTTATTCCTAAAATACTTTCCTAAACTAACTTCCCTAACTTTTGACTTCCGAATTCAACACTCCCCCTCAAGCTGGAGAATATATATCATATAACCCCAGCTTGCAAATTAAGTCTTCAAAGTTAGGTCTTGGTAGAGCTTTGGTGAGGATGTCTGCCGTTTGTTGCTTTGTAGGGATGTAGTTCAATTTAACTGTCTCACTAGTCACCTTCTCTGTGATGAAATGTCTGTCAATCTCAACGTGCTTAGTCCTGTCATGATGCACGGGATTCTTGGCTATGCTTATAGCTGCCTGATTATCACACATCTTCAGAATAGGAAATGAACTCAGTTGTCCCAATTCACTTAGAACCCTTTTTATCCAAATCCCTTCACAAATTCCCTATGCTAGTGCTCTGTACTCAGCTTTTGCACTACTTCTAGCTACCACTGATTGCTTCTTGCTCCTCCAGGTAACAAGATTGCCCCAGACAAAGGAACAATATCCAGACGTTGACCGTCTATCAATGAGGTTTCCTATCCAATCTGCATCTGAATACACTTCAGTGTCACGGTTTTCTGTCTTTCTGAAGAATAGGCCTTTCCCTGGGGTCATTTTTAAGTATCTAAGAACTCTGTAGACTGCTTCCATGTGTTTCTCTGTAGGGCTGTACATGAATTGACTTATAGCACTTACTGCAAAACCAATATCTGGCCGAGTGTGACAGATAGATCAAACGTCCAACAAGTCGCTGATATCTCCCCCTGTCTATTGGTGCACTTTCTTTCTCGGTGCCAAGTTTCTTTTGACTGTCCATAGGAGTATCAACTGGTTTGCATCCAAGCATACCGGTCTCCTTAAGAAGGTCCAAAATATATTTCCTTTGAAAAACTACAATACCTTTACTCGATCTAGCCACTTCCATTCCAAGGAAATATTTCAGATTTCCAAGGTCTTTAACTTCAAACTCTTCTGACAAATACTTCTTCAACTCCTGTAGTTCCTTCACATCATTCCCCGATAGAATAATATCATCGACATAGACTATCTGTGGAATTCCGAAGATATTAGGCAGTAATGGGCTGTAAATAGAAGATCTACTAGGCTGTAAATAGCTGTAGATTAGTTTCCATAACTAGCTAATTAGTTTTCCTTTTCTATAGGATTTGACGGAGTAAATCAAGGAATTACCAGCTATTGTAATCTCCTCTTCTGTATAAATGTATGTTTCGGCTGATGAAATAAACTAAGAAAAATTCTCTCTCTGTTTTTCTTCATGGTATCAGAGCAAGGCTGCCTGGACCAGTTTTTTTTTAGTTCTGATGCAAACCAGAACACAGCTTAATCCCTTTTTCTGGTGAAACTTGAAACCATATTTACTCCTTCTTTTCCTCGGTTTCTAGGTGCAAACCTAGCATCCTCCTTCGTTCCAAATCAGTGTTCCATAAAGTCTCTTAGGCAGTAGTCCATCCTCTATGGCCTCAGAAACAAACAGGAGTGTCGTTGGAACTGTATCAGGCCAAGAAGAACTCGTGAGCAATGGTGGAGCAGAAAGTTCGTCTTTTCTCATCACAAGGCACAAGTTAACCGGCCACAACTACCGTCAATGGGCGAAGGCTGTTTTGATGTTCATTACAGGAAGAGGTAAGGATGAATACCTCTATAGCACCACAGAACTACCGAAGAAGGATGATAAGAAGTTCAAGGTGTGGAATACCGAGAACAATCTGGTTATGTCTTGGTTGATCAATGCAATGGACATAGAAATTGGTCAAAATTTTCTGTTTTATGATACTGCACATGAGATTTGGACAGCAGCAAAAGAAACCTACTCGGACAGCGACAATACCGCTGATCTGTTTGATATCAAGGGAGCTCTGCATGATCTAAGGCAAGGTGAGATGACTGTGACTCAATACTATAACACTCTTAGTCGTTTGTGGCAACAATTAGATGTGTTTGAGAATCTGGATTGGGAGTCCCCTGGAGATGCAAGCCGGTACAAGAAGATCATTGAAAAAGAAAGGGTGTTCAAGTTCCTACTGGGATTAGACAAATCCCTAGATGAAGTAAGGGGGAGAATCCTTGGTACCAAGCCACTTCCAACAATTCGAGAAGCCTTCTCAGAGGTGAGAAGAGAAGAAAGCAGGAAGAAATTGATGATGGGTACTCGGTCATCCTCAAACACCCCGGAAGGATCGGCCCTGGTCTCTCAAGGAACCACTAATACTCAAGAAGGGTCGGCCCTTGTCTCCCGTGGATCCACTTCTTCCTATGATGCTCGGCAGAAAAAAGGAAGACAATGGTGTGATCATTGCCGTCGCCCAGGTCACACCAAAGAAACGTGTTGGAAAATACATGGGAAGCCCGCAGACTGGAAATCAAACAAGGAAAAGGGGGCACGTGGTTTCGTGGCTGACTCAGATGGAAAAGAAAGGAGTGCAAATGATTCGACTCTCTTCAGCAAAGAACAAGTAGAGTGGCTGCAAAAGATGTTCAGTCAAGGATCTTCTCCTAACCCGGTTATCTCAACTGCATCCACTACTCAAAGAGGTAACTTCCTAACTGCCTTACATACAAAAGCCGAGGATTCATCAGGGTGGATCATCGATTCTGGAGCTTCTGATCACATGACAGGTGATGTATCATTACTCCATGATTGCAGTCCCTGCCACGAGAATTACAAAGTTAGAATTGCATATGGTTCCCTTTCCGCGGTAACTGGTATTGGGAAAGTGCTCATCTCCGAGACACTAATTCTTAACCAAGTTCTTTTGGTTCCCAATCTTTCATGCAATTTACTGTCTATCAGCAGACTTACAAAAGACTTAAATTGCATAACTAAATTTACTGCCACTCATTGTTCGTTTCAGGATTTGGCTTCGGGGAAGATGATTGACAATGCTAAGGAGAGCAAAGGACTCTACTGGTTTAGGGCCGCAGGAAAGCAAGACCCACAAGTACATCATGTTTCCTCCTCTACTCCAAATCCTACAATAAAGTCTTTAGATTCAAATAAAGAAAGTACAATCATGTTATTGCATTATCGCTTAGGACACCCAAACTTTATGTACTTATCAAAGATGTTTCCATCATTATTTAATAGACATCCCAAGCTTTTTCAATGTGAAGTTTGTCAATTCTCTAAGCATTGTCGTAACTCTTACCCTCCCCAAAAGTACAAACCATCAAAACCATTTTCTATTATTCATAGTGATATTTGGGGGCCCTCTCGTGTTCAAAATATCTCTGGTGCTAGATGGTTTGTTACTTTCGTTGATGACCATACTCGAGTTACGTGGGTATTTCTTATGAAGGAAAAATCAGAGGCAGGATCCCTTTTCAAATCCTTTCATTCTATGGTTCAAACACAATTTCAAGCCAAGATTCAGTTGTTTAGAACCGATAATGCCAAGGAGTACTTTAACTCCATAATTGGAAATTACCTTCTAGAAAATGGAATCATTCACCAAAGCTCCTGTATAGATACCCCTCAACAGAATGGGATAGCAGAGAGGAAAAATAGACACCTTCTGGAGGTAGCCCGATCTATTAGGTTTACCACTCATGTTCCAAAGCATTTTTGGGGGGAGGCAGTTTTAACTGCCACCTACCTAATTAATAGAATGCCTTCTAGAGTCTTGAAATTTGATACCCCGTGTCAGGTTCTTTCCAAAAACTTTCCTCACACTCGAATTATAACCGACATTCCTCCCAAAGTTTTTGGATGTTGTGCATATGTCCATATCCCTTCTCATCAGCGAAGTAAACATGATCCAAAGTCAGTCAAGTGTCTTTTTATAGGTTATTCTCCTTATCAAAAGGGGTACAAGTGTTTTTGCCCCATCACTCGAAAAACCTATAACACTATGGATGTGACTTTTTTTGAAAATGTGCCCTTTTATACCAAAACTCATATTCAGGGGGAGAGTTCAGTCAACCAACAGAAAGAATATCAGTTTTGGGACATGTCCATGCCTGACATTTCCTTTGAGGTACCTGAACCCAATATTTCCAGTGAACTACTATCAGAGCCGAGTCAAATTCAAGGAGACAAGGAGTCCAAGGGCAAGGAACTTCAAGTTTACACAAGGCGTCAGAAGAACCCTGAACCAGTGGATCAACATCCTGAGCTTCCTCTTGTGCCTTGTCAAACTGATGTCCCGAGACCAAATTCCACTGAAGTCATCCAAGGTAACATAGAATCTTCCTCCACTACAGATAACACATACTCTATGGATGATCTCAACAGGCCTGTTGCCCAAAGAAAGGGGGTAAGATCCTGTACTCAGCATCCCATCTCAAAATTTGTGTCCTAT